AGGGCCGCTATATAGTGAGGCGTGTTCTGCTTGAACGACCTGCCAAGCAGTTCCGTGCAGTCCATCATCGCATGACGCAGTAGAGCTTGGCCCAGCCTTCTTCAGTGGGTCTTTGAAGAGCTTCTTGTGCTCCCTCAGGGAGCCAAAGGAGATGCGCTCTCCAAAGCACCACTGCGCCTGTCCTTTTTGTCTCCAAGGAGCTCATCCCAGTTGGAGTTGAACATGTCGCCGAACTTCTCTGCAGTCCTTTTTGCACCCCAAGATGCTCTGAACAGCGTGCGCCGTGCAAAAAAACTTCGAATTCTGGTCCCTTTCTATGACGCTCGAGAAGGGAACCCTGGGTTAGTAGAAGAGCCGAGAGGTCTCGGCTCCCCTGCCGCTAGTAGACCCTAGAACGCTGTATCAGAAAGCCCCTCCCTAAATTCTGCAAACCTACCCCCCTCTTGAGCTTTTTGGGGCTCGCCCTCTGAGCCCCTTGCGGACTCTTTTTTGAAACTCTTGTAAGACTAAAGAATCCTGCATCTCAACACTCTTGAAAACCTAAACGGCCCTAAACTTTACCTCTTGAAACCCCTCTTCATGGCCCAGGGGCGCCCCGAGCACGACTCGGTAGGTCTTGAAGATGTCCAGCGCCTCAAAGTCCTTTTTTGCTTCTGGGGAGCCTCTGCTTCTGAGGGGGTTATTAGAGAGGGGGGGCGGGGGGGGGGGGGGGGGGCGGAGGGCTGCTTGCAGGGGGGAGTTGGGGGCTTAGAATGGCTTATATTAACCTGCAAGAAATAAGAACATGGAGAGTCTTCAGGCTCTGCTCAGAAGCTGGCCACGCTTCTGGTGGCTCTGAGAGATTTTCAGTCCAGAAGCCCATGCGAAGCCCGGATGTACCATGTAAGATTCACGAATCATCGTGGCGAGACACTTCTTATACTCTCAGAAACGCTCATGCAGCAGACTTATCATGACAACCAAAATTTGGTCGCAGGCCTAACTTCTAAAACATATTTGTGTATAACGAACATGACGCCGTGAACAAAAAAAAATTGCACAGCTGTACAGCACGAGATGCCGCAACGGCCGCCACGGCTCCCATCAAGCCGTTGCTATGAACTTTCCTTGGCAGTTCAGGGAAGCGTTGCAGCAAGCAGAAGCATCCGATGCCCCTTCCATAGCCCTTCCAGAACACCAAAACGCAATGCACATCCAACGCAACACTATGCCCCAAAGCCAAAATCATCCTATATTGTACCCCCCCCCCTCTCCGGGCTTGTGCACCATTTCTCCTCCCGCCTACTAAACCCACCGTCACAAACCACAAAGCACCCCTAACAATCCACACAAGCACCCATAGCGCAGTTCCGAAACAATGCAATCCACCACAACCCAAACCGAGATCCAAAACCCAATCCGAAAATCAAAAGCACCCCAAATAATCCTACCCTCAACCATTTCTGCCGTGAGGTTATGGTCAGTGCTTTTGGCTTAGGTTGCATCAGGAAGTTGAGCTTTATCGGGCTGGTTCATGTCTTGACCACGCAGAATATTATGCGACCACCAAGCGGAAGCCACATTATCTCTCTCTCTCTCTCTCTCTCTGTCTCTCGCTCGCTCGCTCTTCATCTTCCCGGGTGTGAGGGTTTGAGCCTGGAGCCCTCACCCCCGGGGCCTTCACAAAGTGGAAGCTCGGTATAGGAACCCTTCTCTCCCTCTCTCTCACCCTGGTAGGCTCGGATGGCTGTACCCGTGAAGTCTGACAGCATCTCATCTTGCCTAGCAGGACGACGCCCTTAGGCCGCCAAGCATCGCCAACGCCGGCTGCAGGAGCTTGGCAGGCCCCATCGGTGAAATATCCTTCGCGGCATTGTGCGGAGCTTTCGGAGATTCTGTCTCCGGTGGACCCGCTCTCGTGCGCTACAAGGGCCCAAGTTGCCCAAGCTGCGACTCCAAAGGTGGGCAAAGGTGGGCTCCCCATCTCTCCTTGGCCCGGAGGTCCACCAGAAGTTCACCGGCCTCTCAAGGACATCTCTGTAAGAACGTTGCACCCAGATGCTGTCTCTGGCGGCCGTGAAGAAGGAATTGATGGAACTCTACCGACTCTACCCATTATCTTTGGTATCTTGAAAGTGTCGGCCAACCTTCTCGGTCCCGCGACGGAACACCTGGCGCAAAAGCAGCTCAAAAGGCGCTCAATAGGCAGTCAACCGGAGGGTGCGCATCCTGGAACATGCCGAAACCAACATCAAGGCCTGATATGCCCCGCCCAAAAAAACAATGAGCTGCTGTTGCTTCAGAACAACAACTGCCTTGCATCCACAAAAAAGGGACCGAGAGTGAGGTGTCCCTCCCTCCCCTCCCCCCCCCCGGCTGCGCCTGAAGCGGGCCTCGAAAGTGCGCCTCTTCTCAGAAGAAACGGGGTGTTTTTTGGGGTTGAAAACTTGAAGTTTCTGGTGCTCTTTGTTCTTTCGTGTGGGTCCGGTTGGGCAGGGAGGCCTGCCTGAATGAGCGGCTCGCAGGCCGAGGTTGTTCTTTCTGTGTTGCTTCAGATTTTCTCATGTCTTATTGGGCATTCGACTATTTGATGAGAAAACATTGGGCGACGGGTCAAGGGACCCTCGCTACAAAACAATCCTCGCAACACCCTGAAGATGCCAGCTTAACGCACAAGGCACAAGCTCCAAAATCATTCGGCAAAGACACCAAGCGCGCCAGGGCAGAGACGTTCACATAGGCCGTGCCGAGTTTCGAGTCCTGATGACCCGAGATGCGGGGGGGGGGGGGGGGCGCTCTTTGGAACTGCGAGCTGTAGATATAACGGCATAGGGCTGCTAGGAAGGGCATTATAGGGGGCGAGTCCCAAGTCCAGCGGCCTCGGTCCAGAGGCCGGAGCCCTTCTCCCGGATGGTGATTTCCAGGAAATCCTCCGCATCCTTGGGAAGTTTCTCATCTTGACAAAAGAGTTCCAAACAGCGTGATTCTGGAAGAATGGTCAAATTGAAATTGTTAATTGGTCAGTCGATAATTTGTAATGGACGTAATGCAGAGTTTTCAAATTTTCGTCTTTGTATTGCACTATTGCAGAAAAAGACAATGAGATCGAATAGAATCAAAGCTACAATCAACATCATACTATGAATTATTCTAATTATACCTGTTATAAACAGAAAGCAAGTTGGTTCAACTAAATACTAGGCCAAAAACAAACTGACAACAACAAATATTAACATAGAGCTATATTTCAGCAATGCATGAGCTGCTCAAGGGTTTTTGCAAGTAACAGAATCTAACTGAGACCCCAAGGTATGAGACCAGAGTAGAGTGTGCGGTCGCCCCCCCCCCCCCCCCCAACCCCTTCTCTCCTGCACACACAATGCTTTGCCGAAGTGTCCCACGCCACAGTGACGGCCCCTTCCGCTTCGCCCCAGGCCTGGAAAAAATCAGAGCAAAGTGCGCGAATCCCTTCCAACTGCGATTGAAGGCTTTGTTTTGGGGGGCCCTTTCTAGGGGGCCATTGCCGATATCGCCTGCAAAAAATGTCTTAAGGTGCGACTGGCGCATGCGATATCTGTCAAGTGTCCGGGTCGGACCCCGCCGATCCAATGCCAGATCTTTCAGCTTTGTCTCCGAGGCGCACCACCTGATTCCCAGATCGGAACTCGTAGGTGACTTAAGCTTTTGCACCAGGCAACGCAGCTTTGCGAATCCTGTGCGCCAGCGGACGGCACGCAGACACTCGCAACTCACGAAACACTACGACTCACTGAGAGCTGTAGAGTTGTGGAAGAGCTGAGCCAGAACGAGTTGGTGTTGCCGAGCTGCACCGTAGGGTTGCTTGCAGCCATCTCCCAGGCTGCGGCCCTGCACGCACTTTCTGCTGTTTAGACTCGTTTAGACCTCACAATTCATGACCCTACGCCCTGAAAACCCTAATGGCCCTACAGACCCTGAACTCGCTTCGTGAACTTCGCCATAGGTGCCTCCAGGAGTTGTACTCGGATGACAGCACCTGGCGCCCTTAGGTCTGGTCAGATGGCCCCAGAATTTTGACAATCCAAAACAGAAACAGAAAGGGCGGTTTCAAAGAATGGCTTGTGTGTACCCACGTTGTACTACTTCCCCAATGCTACAATCCTCATTCAAGGAGCCCCAACAAAGGGCTTATTGTTGGACAGATCCCTCCCCCCCCCATTTTGAGAAATACCCAAATACAGTCTCCACCGACGATTGAGAGCCTGCCGAGCGACGCTGGGGCACCATCCATCTGAGAGCCTTTTCCTACACCATGAAGCGCATCGAAGCTGCCGGCACATGAACCGAATCTATATAATGTATCACCGTATAACCCCAAAGTCTTCAAGTCACTCAATGGACTCAATTGTTGGCATATTGCTGATCTTAGAACCTTGCTTGTCCGACCTGAGAGGCCAAAGCCCAAACGCCAGCGGAAGTCAGCGTGCTTCGGAAGTCAGCGTGAGGAGGAATGTTCAATACTGCTTTTGGGCCCACCCGGCACGCAAGAATCATGAGCATCGTGGCACCGCTCCACCTGCAGAGCCTTGCAGAATCGTGCTTCGAAGCGGGATTGCTGTGCCAGAGAGCACAAGGGTCCGCTACCATCGGGTCCACCCGGCGCTCATCCGAGTCGTTGAATCTTTCCAGGGTCCCACTTCACAAGGGCTCGCTGCGTTTGGGTCCACCCACTGGTCCCGGCACGCAAGCATCACATGAGAATCATCTGAGTCGCGGAGAATCTTGCAAAGTTTGAGAATGTGGAATCAGGTTTTGCCAGGGTTCACAAGGGCACGCTACCTTTCTGCTGAGTCGCACTTGGAGGCAGGATGTGCAGGTCTCTCATGTGGCACATTTTTCCGAAAATAGGGGGCCCTAAAAGAAGTCCCCCAAATAGTAGGGTTCCGTTATTTTAAAGACCCCAATAAGGCACCCCTAATTTCGGAAACCCCGATTTGTAAATGATTGCACCAATAGCACCAGAGGATCGGTAGGGCCGCTGCGGACGGAGGCCGACCTGGCATCAAGGACGGTGGGCAGAAGACATGTGCACATGACGCATTGTTCAGGGACGAAAGCCATGCGTCAACGAACAAACGGATTTGTCAGTGAACAGAGTTCATTTCTCAGACCGGTCTTTGCAAGAGCTGCTGAGACCATGGGTTCCAGATAATGAAAAGTAATTGGGATTTAAAATATATTGAAACGAATCAAAAGTCACTTAAATGAATTAAACTTAATCACAATTAATGACATAATTGAAATTATACAATTATTTTGTATTAATTACTGAATGAAAGTTAAATTACAATTCATTAAAAATATTTTTTAATTGATTAAAATTCATTAAAACTGATGAAAACGAATTAGAACTCATGAAAATTAAATAGACTCCATTAAAATGAATGAAAACTGATGAATAGTACTCAAAATTACGAGTATGGGAAAAGACAAAAATTTCATTAAAATGACTGAAAATTAGCGATATTTTACATAAGTTCAACTTATTGAATTCATAAAAATAACTAAATTAAATACACAACTAATTAATTAATAAAGAAATGAGTTCAATTGTTTAAAAAAATTAATGGAATTACTTGAATTAGTTGAAAAGCTACGTAAAAAATACTTAGATTCATTAGAAAATTCATGAAAATTATTTAACAATCAATTAAATTAACGAAAAAAGCAATAAAAATCACTTAAATAGAGCAAAACGTAAATTTAAGTAAAAAACCAATTGAATTAATTAAAGAATGAATGGAAAAAAGTAAATTTAACCAAAATATGCATGAATGAAAAATTCATTGAATCAATTTAAAAATAACTATATTAAGTAAAAAAAAAGCTCATTTATGTAATAAAAAAATAATTCAAGACATTGAATTAATTAAACAAAAATAAAT